AAGGGGAAGGAGAAAGAAAAAAGAAAAAAAATTTAAGTTTTATTTTTCATAATATTTTTTTATATTATTTTTTTTCCACATCATCACTTTTTGATTATATTATCTTTCACGTGGATTACTATATGACATGTCATCTGGTAACCGTTAAGTAACAGGTCACGTCACACAATTTTTAACGGAAGGACCAAATCGAGGTAAAAATGGTAAACAGTAGGGACCAAATCAAGGATTTTTTTAGTTTAGGGACCAAATTGGGGGTCCGTACAATAGTTCAGGGACCAAAAAAGAGTTTTAACCTTAAAAAAATCAAGGTTTTTCTGCAAAAATATCCATAAAGGCAAAGAACAAAAACTGAGTTATGACAATCTCTCAACCTCATAAACAATTGCACCATTCCATATCTTCTTAGAATTTAAAATTTGAACCCAGTAAATTAATTGTAAAAATACCCCATACATTTTAATTTGTTAAAAACTCAAATCCTTCTAAACACTAAGCCCAATCAAAATAAAACTTAATTTTAATTTTAACAAGTAATCAATGAAATTAAGGCACATGATATTAATATTAAAATTATTATTAATTTTTTTAATATAAATTAATAATTAAAAAATATATTAATTACATATTTAACTTATATTTTTATATTTGTATCTTAAATATATAGATTAGAAAAATTCATATATAATATAGAGTGAGCCCAGGTCTAACTTTAATTATTAACTTGCGTAATAGCTAATCATGCTCATTTTCATGTGTTGCGTAGACTGTACGGAATTGGACGTTCTGAATGATTCACATCGGCCTCATCTTTTAATTGTTGGTTGGAAAAATCATCACCACTAAGAATTTTCAAGACTCTTGTTTTGGAAAATGACTAACACAACGAAAAGTCTAACCCATAAATATAGAGAGTGACTCCACAAGAATTAGCTAGGCAGCAATAATTGCAATTGTGTCCCTCACCCTCCACTACAAGGAGATGCATCTATACTGACAGAACTTTTCCGTCTGTATAGACCCATTTTCTGTTGGTATAGACCCCCAGGACTATTCCAACAGGCTAACTTTCAGTAAGTGGAAACCTCGTCAGTATAGGGTCTATACCAACGCTTAATCCGTTTGTATAGACCCCTGGATCTATTCCAATGGAAGATTTTATCCGATGGTATAGACCCTTAGATCTATTCTGATGGAAAACTTATCCGTTGGTATAGACCCTGAGAAATCTCTTGAATTTCC